TTAGCACCGTCCCTCATTTTGTAAATAATGATGATAGTCTGCATTTCCATTTTCTTTCTAGCATTAATTTAGTCTTCTTTGCAATGTTTAAGGTTTGGAGTTTGGTATCCTTGCTTTTCTTATTATGATTGTTTTACCTACATAAGTTAATTTTCTTTAATTATGGAACATACCGTCAACAGTTAAGATTTCTCCTTTTATATATAGTTAGGGCATTCGACTCACAATCTCCAGTCAGGGGTTGGAATCCCTGTCACACTTAACATGCTCGCCCTTTCAATTGTGGGGGCTTTATAAGGTCACGGTCAATCTCACTAGTCGTTGGTGAAAGAGTAGCCCAAGAGTTGGCGGTGGGTGGTGTTGGCTAGCCGCATTCTCTATAGTCTATCACTACTAAATTAGGGGCGACTAGCATGGATAGCCCTCCTGTAGCTTTGCGCGAGATTCCAAACAAGCCAAACCTTTATATACTGTATATTTTTCTCTGTTTACCATGTTTCTCTTCATTTCACAACCTCAGTTTGTGTACTAATTTAGTTTCATTATTACTGTTATTATTATTTCACTTGAATATTTAAAAATTCCTTACACGCATTTGTGCACGTAAATAAAAATTTTCTATCTGTATATGGATATATTGTGTTTATTGAAGTTTTATATTTGAAGTGTACTCTATATACACGCTTTTCTTTGAGGGGTTTATTTTGACATGTTTAAAGGATTATATTTGTAACTCTATATTTTAAAGTTTTATTTCCTTGTTACATGTTAATTGTTTAACCTAATAAGAGTCAACATCCCAATTTTAGGACGTAAGTTCAACTTATTATGAATAAACTTATAAAAACTTATGAGTGAATTATTTTAAAATTTTGAGATTACACTTACATCGCATTGTTCTACATAGAAATGTAGGCAAAGTGAGATTTATTTATAATTTTGTCAAAAAAGATAATTCTTGCCCATAATGAGATAAGCCCGTGAGTCTTGTATGCATACAATTCTTTCAGTATGTTATAAATATAAGATTCTCGAGTGTAAGAATCAACAATATATATTTGTACGTAAACGCTAGTGTTAGCGTCAGTATTGTTACGTAAGCTAAAATTTCTAGAAACTCTCCACACGCCTTTAAATATAACCAACGCTACCCGCCAGAAAAAGAGTATCTATTATTGGTTTGCTATAATTGGTGTGCTATAAACTTCAGAAGTTATAACTGTGATTGTTAACCGGGACACTTCAGATAATTCTGGCCCATAATAAGATAAGCCTGCGAGTCTTGTATTCACACAATTCTTTCAGTGTGTTATAATGCTGTGCAAACTGTGTATGAGACCAAAGTCTGACGGAAGCGATTTCCATGCAGTGTTTAGATTCACACATTTTCGTTTTATATTAGGAGTAAATTTTATTACAGTTGGTTTAAGGACAAACCTTAGATACAGAAGAAGGGATTTATCATATCCAAACACCACATATCTCACTCTCCCATAGTATATATTTCATATTTACAAAATATAACAATATTTCTAGAATTCTAATATGTAACATGGTAAGCATGATTGAGACATTGGGCTAAATCAACCGTAGGTGTTACTTTTTGTAGCATAATTCAGTCAAGGAGCTGTTTATTATTTTATACGTTGGTTATATTGTGTCATCCTGTATATGAAGAACGTATGCCTTTGTATTCTTTTGATTCCATTTTAGTCATATATATATATAGAGAGAGAGAATGTGGATTGTAAAAGCAGATTTATCAGTTTCAGTCAGATTTGATTTTGCCAGTGAAGAAACCAAGATGTGTATGAAGTTTTGTCCAATGCTGTTGTTTGTATAACATAGCCTCCTGATCGTGTGCGTTAATCCTATCAATATCACCAAATAGTCTTTAATCATTTATAAATAATAGTTTATTTTATTTCATTAAATGCAGTTTCTTTAGATGATTTTCTTATTAGAAATAGCTTATTCGTTTATTTTGACTTTATCAACCTTTCAATATCATAATCCTGCCACCTTTAACCTTATGTTGTTTTCTCCTTTCATTAGGCTCGTAACACAGCATTCATTTTCACTCTGTCTCTTGTATCTTTTATTTCACATGTAACATTTCACACTTCATTTGTCCATCCAAATACTACAGAGAGTTCAGTAGGTTCTATTAAAATGACTTTGGAGCCTTATCATGTTTTACAGTCCATGTCGTCATATTCAGACGTACTCTATCTGATGGTTGTGTATCTCGACAATAGCCATGTAGCGTATTCTACATTGCAAAGGGTTCCGTCGTAAAGTTGTCATGCCCAAAGTACTCCTCCTTGCAGACCTTCTATAATATACATAGCAAACAGTGTGTTAATATTCTACTCGTTTCTTTGATATCATTAAAAGATGAAGACGTGCTGTGTGTATGGCACACGTGAGATATTGTAGAACTTCACGCTCACCTTTTGTAGTTACAATAACACACATCTGAGTTATTCCTGATCTCTTAACTGTATTAGAACTCCATAAGCAACTTATTCAGTTACAATAATATACATCTGAGTTATTCTTGATCTCTTAACTGTATTAAAACTCCATAAGCAACGAATTTAGTTACAATAACACACACTTGAATTATTTCTTATCTATTAACTATATTAGAACTCCATAAGCAACGTATTTAGTTACAATAACACACATCTGAGTTATTCCTGATCTCTTAAGTGTATTAGAACTCCATAAGCAACGTATTTAGTTAAATAACACACACACTTGAATTATTACTTATCTATTAACTGTATTGGAACTCCATAAGCAACTTATGTAGTTACAATATCACACACCTGAGCTATACCTAGTCTCTAAACTGTAGTAGAACTCCATAAGCAACCTATGTAGTTATAATATTATACACACATGAGCTAACTGGAAGCGCTAGCTAACGTTAATACAATAAAATTCGCTAGAGTGTTAGTACAAGTGAACGAACATAAAATATATACGAATATTATTTTTTTACACCCCATTAGTGTGTGTGTTGATTGTATCGAGTGAAAACACTGGAATATTTAAAAATAGTTTGTAACATAGGCGCTTAACACATGGGGCGGAAGGGGCAGATTCAGATTGACTTAGCTTTTTTGCCCCCCTCCTTCCCCCAGTTTCCATGTTAAGAAATCTTGGCAAACAATGGAAAACTGTTTCTTTAATTCTTCAGTTTCATCTCAAAACTTTTATTGCTCATATTAGTAGCGTCTAGAAAAAGCTTTAGTTCACATATGTAAATATTGAACAAAAAAAACTAGAATATTTTTAAACGTATAAGGTAAAAATATAATAAACGCTTATAAAAATCTATCATTAAATCCATTCTCAACAGTTGTTACACGCGAGTAGTGAATTTTAGCGTTTGCGTATGAATTTTCAAACTGTTAGGTTCCAGTTTCTAATTAAAACATACTTCACTCGTAATGTTTTTTATTTGAGCTTAATGAACAGGTAATATTTTAAAAGAAAGACATATATTTCAACATTGGCTAAAATAAACTCTCATTTGAACAAAATTGATTATTAGTAGAACATGTTATTAAAGAAAGAAGAGTTTGATAACACTCTGAAGCAAAACTAATTATCATAATTAGTTTTCTTTTCTAATATACGTATCTCTCTCTCTCCCTCTAGGTACCATGTTCACTTAGGGCGTTGGTGAGCATGATCTTCCACTAATTCCTGTCTCCCGTTGCCTTCATCATTTCTATATTGTTAATCCCTTGGTAATTGTTGATAGCAGCATCTGTCTTTATCTTCATTTACTTTTCTTTCCTGGTATTTTTCCTGTCATACTGATGTTTTTAATATCTCCTTTTTTCGTGTATATATATATTTATATTCTTAAGTAAAAAAAATAATTAAGTATAGTAACCATCAAGAAGAATGTAGCAGCTGTAAGAAAATGTATTATGAATTATCTATTCTCTATATATTTATATTTTACCAAAAGGCTGGGCCCTTACTTTACAGAAAAGGAAATATGATCATAGTGAAAGGATGATTTCATCAACAGTCTACGTACTAATTACGCAAACGGATCAGCTTCACCCAACAACCCCTATATGTCAGTGTGGCCCACTCTCGATGTCTTGTACAAAACTCTGAAATGGCACGTGGTATGTGACGAGAAAAAGCGGATCGTGTGCAAAGGCCTAGAAAATATGATATTTCAAGTTTACTTCTTCCAGTTCCAGTATTTGTAGAGTCACTTAGTGTTAGAGGTTCCTGTCTGTCACTTTCAGAATCTATTTTGCTTCTCATTATCCTTCAGGTAAGAGCACGACAGATATGTCACCTGTATCTGGATAATAATATGTTAAATCTAAGTAACTTTATTAGAATATTTAGCCTTTGATATTGCCGACATAACGTAGTGTTTCTTCTAATTTTAGTACAATAATGCTTATTGACACAATGACAGCATCACAAGACTACCCAGTTTTCTCGCGATTCCGCTGAAGGAAACTAAAAATAAGTTCTTAAAGTTAATCGTTTCTCTTAAATTATTTCGAAACAACATTTAGGTTTTTGAAAATGATAATTTAAGAATTGAACGTGCCTGTTGTTTGAATACAGTACACACTCTTTGTATTAAAGCTAGTTAAACACTAAACCCCCTTAAAAACGTGTTGTGTCTCCAGTTCCCATGGTGCTTGATGGTAAGCCCGCAGCTGTGTAAAAGTTTGGAAATACATCGTGAACAGTTTCTTCGTTAGATCACGTATTAGTTTTCTGTTTTTTTTTGTTTTGTGTGTGTGTGTGTGTGTGTGTGTGTGTATATATGGAGATATTGGGTATCGCTGATACTTATTGACTTCCAAAGTATAACTTCTTTACAACCTTTTAAATGTGATAAATGTACATTACTACGGAATTCTATTAAATAAAACCGACATGTAGCATTAAATTCGAAACCAATCCAATCTTCTAGCAACCACTTAAGACTTGTTAATACATCGAACTCACCCGGAAGCAGACGCTGCCTAGAGCATTATTAGATAGGTATGACGTGGTGTTTAGGACATTCGATTCACAATCTGTGGGTCGCTGGTTCGAATGCTGTTACTAAAAATGCTTGCCTAGAGCATTATTAGATAGGTATGACGTGGTGTTTAGGACATTCGATTCACAATCTGTGGGTCGCTGGTTCGAATGCTGTTACTAAAAATGCTTGCCTGGAGCATTATTAGCTTGGTATGACGTGGTGTTTAGGACATTTGATTCACAATCTGTGGGTCGCTGGTTCGAATGCTGTTACTAAAAATGCTTGCCCTTTTAGACGTGGAGGAGTGATAACGTGATGGTAAATCCCACTATTCGTTGGTAAAAGAGTAGCCCAAGAATTGGCGAGGGGAGATGTTGACTAGCTGCCTTTCATCTAGTGATTCTAGTCTGTCTTTCAAATTTAGGGCCGGCTAGCGCAGATAGCCCTCGAGTAAGCAGTGCGTCAAATTCTACAAACAAACAATAGTATTATTAATTTATTATCTAGTAATAACGATTAGTGACAATATGGTACTCTTAATCTTGTATGCAATTAACTATGTGACGTTTATAGTGTAAAGGTTTCTTTTTCTACCACAAGTGTATTAGGGGGGGGGAGAAAATAATCTGAAACTTTAATTATGAATTTTTGAAAAGAATGATTCATAAAAAACTTTTATTACGAAACCAAAAAAAAAAAAAACTTTAACTGACAGTCCGGTGAATCTTTTTGTAATTTTATCTGTTAAATAACACTCGGAGTTGATAATATAATTAAAAAATATACCCAAGAACTTGGTCCACCGAATGCCTGTATATGAAACGTACATGACCTCGTGGATTTCGTACTTTATCTTTGTAAGTATATCGTACAGGTCTTTCGCCAGTCATCTTTAGAATTAGCTTTCGTATTGAATTGCTTGAGCGAAATTTTATTGTTTTCGCAATTTAAACATCAGTGTGATGTTTATATCATTGATAATACTCGAAGCAAGCGCAGGACAAACCACGTTAGTAAAAAAAGTATACAAAAGCTTAATATTTTTGATTGCCGATAATCAAGTAAAACTATTTAAAAATAAAAACGAATTTTATGAAACTGTTTTGCCAGGGTCACCTAACATTAGCAGCTTGCAAACCTAGCGAAACCTAGGTAAATCTATTGAAATTTGGTGTTTTGAATAAGTTATTAAATAATTACCTCTTTAACCATAAATTAGAAAGAAAAGTAACATTTTTACCTGTAAATTAATTAGTACAAAGCTCTTCGTCCGTGATTAGTTTCGTACATATGTATGATTAGAGTAGCATTCTTGTATACTGATTTCTACTTCGTTGTATAACTCTGATGGCAAGTAAACAGTATATAAAAGGACGTTATGGTTTAAGACTTAAAATGGTCGAATGTTCAGCCTAAACATTCCGAAATTCTGTCCATTATTTTAAGGCCATTTATGTAAATAGAAAATTGGGTAGGAACGTAGTTTGTGGGCAAAAGGCGATCCTCAGAATAGGTAGCATTAAATAACGGCACTCTGCTGTGGGGTTCAAAGGCTCTCCAAAGGTTGTCTATACAAAAAAAACTAGGATGTTTCCGCTAGATGGAATGACCTTCCAGATACCCCCCCCCCAAACATGTATAGATAGAAAGGGGGGACTTCATCTATAAAGTTTGGTCTGCTAGCTCCACAAATGCTTCACAAATGTGAAGCTCGTGGACAAAATAATTTTGCAGTTACCAACGGTCACATGACAGAGGACAGCTTATCTAGGGCCCCAAGTTCCCACCCAGGATGAGGATTGCGAATGACGTAAAATGGCGTCTTTAGCTGCATTGTAATTTTCCAAATTGCTGCTTAGGATTGATATCACTTAAACCAGTTTATTTCTTAGTGGAATATTTTGACCTCGTACACTTGAAGATGCATAAACCAGCCCCCTCATTTTTTTTCTAGTGAAATTTATTATGACCACTTTTGTTATCGTTTTGATTTTCTGTAATCGACAAACACTTGTACCTTTGGTTTTTATTCTTGGTTATGTCAAAACTACTAGAAATTAAAGGTAAGCATTTTGTAGTGACGTCACTTGAATTGTTAAATTTAATTAACTGTAGATATTTTAAGTCAATATAATAATACTTCCTCTAGTACAAATAAGGAAATTATCAGTAAAAGTTGCAATAGGAAGTTTGGAGTGTAAAAAAGAAAACAAAAAAAACGGTTCTTTACGTTTCGTTTTTATACATGAGGTTAGCTTTGTTTAATCTCTCATAAAGCTACTCGAAGGTTATCTTCACTAGTCGTCCCTAACTTTTTATTTCAACTTTAAGTGATAAACTATAGGGGGAAAGCAGCTAGGCAACACCACTCTACTAACTCGTGGGTTCATTTAATCGAATAGTGGGATTTTACCGTTCACTCTTATAACGCACCCAGAGTCCAAAAGTGTGAAACGTTGTTTTATAGATAGGTGTATGGGGATCGATTGATCATGAGGACTGCATCACTTTACGGAATTTCTTGTTCCTACGACATCGAGGTAATTCTTATACACCCTACTGCTATGAACTCTTTTTGCCATCTAGAAACTGTAGTTGAAAAGATCTTAAAACCAAAATAAAGTAAGCATATAAAAGGAATAAACTTTTGTTTTGAGTGGCAAACAAGCAGTTCTAGGTGATTAGGTTGGACTATATAACTTCACCACAAGTGTTACGCGGTGCAATCTGAAAACAAGTTACAATAGCTGAGAACGGGTGGACCGATGCATTTTTCAAGGTGTGTACTATTGGGAAACTAGCTCGAAAAAGTGGGAGGAATAAAACTAAATGAAAAAAAATTTCATGAAAAGGTTAAGAAACGACATGTTACAGAAATGGACATGCAGGCATCTTGTCTGTTATTTTTAAATACACAAATTTTTTTTCTTCCTTTCAAAGAATAAGTCAAGGCAGAGAACCCCATAAAGAACGCCCGTAAGGTAAACAAGATTAATGACTAAACAATATGTAATTGGTAATATCAATCGTCATTTTAGTCAAATAATATGTTGGGGAACAACTTAGCTCCGTTAAATAAAAACCAACAACAAAATTCATTTGCACCGTGATCCACGTAAAGCTGAAAACGAGAAGATAGAGCAACATACCAGAACAATAAAAGCAGCATTGTTGATTTACCAGAAACGATGTTCGTTTAACGTGACGAATTATTACTATAAATTATCAAAATACATAAACGTTGGTGCGTTTACCACAAAATGTCTACTATGTTTTTAAAGTCTCGTAGTTGAAGTTTTTATTTCCCATAAAATTATAGCCGAAAACGAGCGATACGTATGTGAGTACGGTAGATAACGATAAATTATTCGCGTGCAAGTTTTAAAAATTAGTAAGCTAATGCACCGAATTCATGTTTAGTCGGTGTGATTTTAAGCATGGTAAATTAAGCGGTATTATCTTTACCCAAAGAAATTTAAATATGGTAATCTAGCAGGTGGTTTCCTGTTTTTAGTTCATATTATTTAAACGTGTAAGCTAAATAAGCGGTAGTAATTTTTAACATCAATATTACTTAACCGTTTTAATCTAATGGGCGGTATTTCGGATTAATCGGTCTGGCTTAATCTTGAGTATGGTTTGAGTAGCTTTATGTTGGTGCTCGCATTATTTAAGTATTTTTTTTCTTCTATTTTTGTTTATACAAAAATTAACACAGTTTTGAATTCTGAAACCTATTGAATTATATTTTGTTCTTTTGGTGACTTTAGGGCTTACAACACTGACATTCGGAGCTCGATCGCTACGCGGGCACAGTGCCAGTAGTCCACTATTCCGGTTTTGTGCTTAAAGAGAAGCAACTGATTTAGATATATATTTTTTTTAATTTCTCATATTTCTTTATGTAAATTCGATCTCAGAATTGCAAGATATAAAAGTTGCTTACACTTTTTTGCTGGCGTTTTAAGTCGTTAATAATATTGCTTAAAATATAGAATTAGATACGAACTTTACGTTAACATACTTTTTTCTTTTATTTGTAAACTTTCAACTCTCACGAAGCCATCATCAGACAAAAATGTACTGAGCGATACAAATTCGGTTATCTGTGGAACACTGGTTTAAAAAACAACCACAAAAACTTAGTTGTGTCGGGTGTTTCATGTTATAAAATTTTCTACTTCCTAAAAATGTTTGGTTTGGTTTGTTTTGAATTTCGCGTAAACTACACGAGGGCTATCTGCGCTAGCCGTCCCTAATTTAGCAGTGTAAAACTAGAGGGAAGG